TAGAGGTTCATACACCTACAGATTCATCATTGGGCTTCGAAGGATTATGGAGATTGATCCACCTACGTTTTGATAGTTTGAACTCCGAATACTGTCTTGGCCGGTACACCGATGCATTTATGTAACGTGTACCTTCCGGGTAGGTGAATCTTTATTTACCACAGCTATTTAAAGGCCTGGTTCAATCCCTGGCTGCGTCATCTCTCTCTCTCTCTCTCTCTCTCTCTCTCTCTCTCTCTCTCTCTCTCACACACACACACATACAAACACACATTCGTATCGTGTGGATATATGAGCGCAATAATTTTGAACGCGACGTTAAACCCATTTCAACTGTAACGGAAATATTATATTCATAAAACCGTGACCATAATTTTAGTTTGTTTGTTGTTAAACGCCGCACTCAGCAATATTCCAGCTATATGACGACGGTCTGTAAAACATCGAGTCTGGACCATACAATCCAGTGATTGACATCATGATTATCTGGGATACGATGACATGCATCGACCAAGTCAGCGAGCCTGACCACCCGATCCCGTTAGTCACTTCTTACGACAAGCATGGGCTGCTGAAGACCAATTCTCTAACCCGGAACCATCACGGGACCCATAATTTTAGTATGTGTATTGATTCAAGCATTTAATCAATACCATTGAGTTGGTTGGTTGGTTGCTTTGGTTTGTTGTTTAACGTCGCACTCAGCAATATTCCAGCATAGTCACCTTTTACGGCAAGCATTGCAACTGGTTGCTGAAGACCTGTTCTACCCGGATCTACCCGGATCTATGTATTATGTTTCTGGTCCCCGCCCGCAACGTGTTATACCCCCGCGTCGGGCATTGCTATTTTCTGGATTTTTAACCAAGGGCAGGAGGTATGAGTTAGGAGGTCCAATTTGTATTATATTTACTATTTATCGTTTCTTTCTAGGGATGACTACTCTTGGCAGACACATGTATGAAACTATGGCTTGAATGGATTTACACACTCAATATTCCAGCTATTAGACGGCTGGCTGTAAAAAATAAACGAGCTTGAGCCTTGACCAAACCGTCTAGCCCCTTTGGGTAGAATGTACCCCGAGCATCCCATTGCTTGCCGTAAAAGGCACCAACATTATAATAAGAATACAATCAATTAAGAAACACATATTTACAGATGGATCCAAGGATGGTGGCACTATTGCTAGTACTACTGTCATTGCATCGAGAACAGTATCTTCAAGGTTAAAGCTCCATATATTCACAACAGAAGCAAACGCCAGACTATTTCTTTATTTTGTATATTTGTTGTTTGACGACGCGTGAATTGATGCTTATGATGCCCATCACTGGATTGTCTGGTCCAGATCATTTACAGACCGCCGTCATATATCTTGAACATAGCCAAGCGCGGCGTTAAACAACAAACAACAACGAATGCTCTCAGTTTACAAAAGAAAAAGCTGTCAAGTGCACTAATCGGTCGCCACTGTTCAATTAAATGTCGCCACTGTTCATTTATTTTTTGCAGTAAAAATCGAGTCTTGGACACATTTAGCACTGTCTGCTTTTCAAACAAGTCATATATTTACAATTGATACACCACGAGGTTGACAATTCAATAGGTAACATTTACGTGAAACCTCTTAAACACAGGTAGGTCGTGGCAAATGACAGCACTTTTCGCACTTTTCGCACAATGAACATACAAAACATAAGTGTCAGACACATTAATGAGCGGCAGCTTGTGTTCCAGCAGTACTGGAGGACTGAATCACCAGTTCCCCTGCTATAAGCAGGTATCCCGCGAGATCCGGGTTGTCGTGTGAACGTCGAATTAGCAAGGTTACATTTCCCATTGTTCCGTTTTTCGTTTCCATCAGAAATATTTGTGATGTAAAATAGATTTAAAAAACAATAATACGAAACCCATTATATGTACATGATACACAATACACAATAATTGCAAATACGATGATAAACGCATGTTAAAGAAAGACAATTAAGAAGCTTGCTAATAACGGGTATCTTGATAGTGATGGTCAGTAACGTGAATTAAGATTTGGAAACCGATGAAGTGATCTAATGCGTACAACGCAATCAAGTATAGCTGTATTTTGTTACATCTGCACACTAACTGCTAATTTATCAATATGTTGATTATCTTTTAAATTATCCTGACGAATTATATCTATCTAGTTTGTTATTACACGTAAAAAGTTGTTGTATTCATTGACCATCGGGGTCTAAAGGTTAGATCGAATAAATACAAATGCATAAATAATTATAGGCGGACATATAATTAAACATCTACATAAAAGTCATGTTATTCACACGACGTGACAATGGTCGCCAAGATGGTTCTATGTACACATACAAGCAGCAACTGAGTATATATTTATGTTTAAATAGCGGTGCTTAAACAAATACTCTCCCAAAAAAAGTAGAGGAACATGAAATATCAATGTTTTTTATCGGTCGTCAGAAGAAAGATCAGCTTTGAAAGATGACCCCAAGGGATAGAACGGTTTCGGAACCAAAACGCCCCAACACATCCTAAACATACCACGTGGAACATGCAGTTCCTCCGGGCACGTGGGTAAAGGGTCACTCATGATTTTGACACTTCAAAGGAAGGCCTGAGACATGAGTATTGCCGATTTTATTATCCACAGTAGCACGTGATGTCTCTGTTCTTGCTTCAATGCTTTTATTCATGATCAGGGCAGGAATGCTTCGTCTACAACGTGATGAATGCCTAAGGGCTGTTGGCATGCTTCAAAATGGTAGAAGTCAGCGACAGGTAGCCAAATTGTTCAATGTGTCTCATTTGTAGACGTTGGAACAGGTTGCGCACCATGTTGGTCTACGTCTTGTCCTTCAAGACGATAACATCCTTGCCCACCGTGCGCGTATCGTACCTGACTACCACCAACAGCACTACATCACCAGAATGCAACAAGGGCCAGTCCTGCCCTTTTCATATAGAGCACGCCTGGGACATCGTTATGTTTTAATTTCCCCTACTTTCTTTGGGGAGTATATACGTGTAGCTTCTCTTTTGACCCACGTCTAAATTCATAAGCTAAGTGTACATCACATCTATTTAAAAAATCAATAATACTTTCCCCAGAGCTCGTAACAAATAATTATGTAAACACATAAAAACTATTGCATCTCCAAAAATAAAACATAACTATTGAATCTCCCATGAAGAAAACATGATGCATCTCCCATAAAACATAAAACATCTCCAACAAATAAAACAAAATGCTTCTTCCATTATGTAAAACAATGCATCTCCTATAACACAAACATTATGCATCTCTCTTAAATCCAACATGATGCATCTCCCACAAATAAAGAATAATGCATCTCCCATAAATAAAACAATTCCGTCCCATTTTAGTATTCATTGTTACATTGATGAACGGCTTATAGCAAAATCAGGAACCTCACATGAACCATGACATTCCAGTGGGCACCAAGTGTCCCCCCCCCCCCCCCCCCCCACACACACACACACACACGCCCACACCCACACCATGGTGATCTGTTTCTGCACATGCTCGCATTGTTAAAATCAAAACAGGAATTTGGTCATGAAGTTTACCTTGAGCTTCAGGTATGCCGCTGATCCGATAAGGTTTAAATTTTGTCACTTTCCACTAACTTACTGTTCACAACTAAAATATAAGAGACCAGAGAAGCCGTCTGATCTGTTTTATATTTAGATCTGTGCATAAAGATTCAGAGTGATAAAAAAATCATTGTCCACTCGACTGTATTGTTTCAACTGTCCCTGTACGTCGAGCAATATTCCAGCAGCTCCAGCGCATTGCATGTACATTTCCAAACCTTTGTGATACAATCGAACATGATCTTTCTACAAAGATTTCAAAGAGCTTCACGTGAATCTTGTTCAAATATTGTTTGATCAGGGATTGAGCATTTGATGACTCAGTAAGGCTTTCAAGAGGTTTTGTGGTTGACATGTTGAAAACATGTTTATTCGAGTGAGCACTTGATGTGCCTTTGCATGTGTTTGAGAAGCATGCAACCGGTGAGGCTAGATACGCTGACCTTTTCGCCAACACATGATATCATCACCAACTGATAGTGATTAATAAGTTCAAAACGTCAATGCCAAAGAAATATCCGTATCGATCAAATAGTGATGAAAGTTGTTCGTGAAAAGGGTTCTGCTCTACCGGTAGCAGCCATCACTAACAATTTTTTCACAAAAAAATAAGTTTTTGTTTTTGAAACATAACGCGGCACCAAGCAATACTTCTGACGACCTTCTCGTAACCAATTGAGTCTTGACCAGACAATCCAGTAATTATTATAAGTAATGATCAAAGTTGTCAACCAAGTCACCAAACATGACCACCTGATCCCCAAAAATAAGTAAGTGAGTAAGTATGAAATGTCCCTGGGAAGGTCATTGTAGGCACATCATATTGACAAGCAGCATAGTCAGTAAATTCCTCTGAATGTCCACTATAAGATTTCTATGGAGGATAGATGAGGTGAAGATATTCATATATGTTGGTAGTATTGAAGAAGGTGTGGTCATCTATATATCGGAGTCTCGCGTATAACGTCTTGTGTATTGTTTGATTTAACGAAGTAGTCATATCATATAAACATATCTCATTTGTATGCAACGAGAAACAGATCAACAGGGAGAGGAGCACAACTAGTACCCATTGGGATATTAATTACTTGTCTAGTAAGTAGTTTTGAAAGTCGTTTTGGTGATACATTTGCTGGAGCCTGCAATTCGTATGAACCTTAGGAATCCAGCGTATGGCTGAAATGGGTGAGTGAGTGTTAACAGTATTTTAGTTATATCGCGGCGTGTCAGCTTAATGTGTGAGGAAAGCCCGGAGTGATGCAGGTCTCAGGCGTTTACCACTTTGGTGAAACCCATGAGCACGGGGTATGGTGCTGACAAACCTAGAAACATAATCGGGGCGAACAGGGATTCGAACCCACGATCATTGGTTTCTGGCGTGCCGAAGGGACGCAACTCTGCACAGCGAATCGCGGCGCCTAAGAAATTCCAGCACAATAAAAAAAATCATGATTCACACACCTTTCCTATTTAGACAGATGACTGGCTTTGTACGTTGGATTAGATATACTAGCAATGCCAAGTCCCTGTACATGTAGTCGGAATCGTACAACCGACTATTAGACCTCCACAGTCAAGCCATGATATGTCAGAATGTTCACCTAACATTAAGGTATATGTCTTTCCTAAGTACAGCGCGGTATCATTATATTTCTTTTCAAATGAAAAGTTTAATTTGTCCATAGCTATGAACATGTAAGGTGTTATGTGAAAGGTATATTGATATATTCAATGCATGAGTAAGAACGGAAATTTTAAATTTCTGTGTTAGCGGTCTGATGTTAGCAATTATTCTTTCTGATTATTTCCGTCTTGTCTATTATTTTGCTTTTCGGTTGTTTTTTTGTTGAGATAAACTGAATGAAGTTTAAACAATCAACGAACAGGAAAAACCCAAATGCGGCAATAAAGCAAGCGATGCCACCTAATCCAATCCCTGTTGAAGATTTGCGTTCATCCGGTGCACTTGTCTTTTTCCGTATTGTGCTGGACAGAATCGACTTGTCGACAAGTAAAATCGATCGCAGCAATGCCACTTTTGCAGCCAGTTCTGTCTTGTTGCCACTGAAAATGCAAGGACACCCACAAGCAAGTACAAACTGACAAAGGAGTCCACTGTAGTCAGCCGGACAGAGGCATTCAAAGGCGTTGACACGATCAGTGCAAGTCCCGTTGTTTTTACAAGGACTGGAGGCACAGTCGTCGATGTCTGAAATAGAAAAATGACGAATACAATACAAAACGTATCATCGTTTACGGGATTAAAGTAAATGAAAGACTGTTTTACGAAATAGACTGACCAACACAGACTGACCTTCAATTACTCTGAATCGCCATCGTATCTGTATACCTTACTTACCTGTCTCGCACATGACCCCTGTAATTCCAGCCGGACAGGAGCAGGTAACGCCAGCACCTGTCTCACTACAGATCCCTTTGTTATGACAGGGGTTCGACGCGCAGGGGTCGAGAACTGGATAACATAGAAATTTAATTAGGTTGATCATCAACCTACCATATGTATGACCATTGACATGTTGTACAGTGTATGTATTATTATATTTAAAGTGTATTATCGCCATATATTATCTCCAATAATCTTGTATGTATCAAACGTAGTTGCCAGGATCCTTGTCATTCATACAAATAAACCACGAGGCTGATACCTCACTATTTATAACTTAACGTTTGGACCCGTGAAGTTCCGGGCCAGAACAGGTCTTCAGCAACCCATGCTTGCCGTAAAAAGCGACTATGCTTGTCGTAAGAGGCGACCAACGGGATCGGGTGTTCAGACTCGCTGACTTGGTTGATGCATGTCATCGAATCCCAATTGTCCGGATCGATGGTAATGATATCAATCACTGGATTGTCTGGTCCAGACTCGATTATTTACAGCCCGCCGTCATATAGCTTGAATATCGCTGGGTGCGGCATGAAACAACAAACAAACAAAACTCAACTTTTGCTACACTCAATTAGTTTTTGTTTGTAACCATCGGCATTTTTGTAAATTTATTACGGTCTATTTCTACATTCTAACGACCAGCATCAGTTGCTGGAGATCAGTTCTCACCCAGCATCCAAACTTGTTGGCTGGAAATAACCGAATCTTAACATCCAAGTCATTTATGTTATGAGTAATGATCACCGAACCTGGCCATCCGATCCATTAACTCGCTCCTTACGTTGAGCCCAGGTTACTGTGATCAGTTATGACCTGTAGTTCCAACGGGGTTCAATGGAAGATGAAATACCTGTTTCACAATTGGTGCCGTTGGTGCCATGACTACAGGTACAGTTGTATCCATCTATCATGTCTGTACAGCTTCCGCCATTGAGGCATGGTTTGGTGGCGCATTCGTCAATGTCTGCGATGATGACAATGCAAATAAATTTACACTGCGAATGTATCATATTATTGTCTAATTTTCCCACCTTATCTTAAAACATGAAGGTATACTGACATTATCCCCAAGAATAACCAACAACCCTATTAAACAAACAAACAAACACATAGCATTGGCCCAAATGTAATGTCATGCATACACTAAAAGTTGCTATAAAGGTACTTTAAAGACTCCAGCAGTACATAATGCAGTTAAGGTTTACATAGATTTATTCTTACTATGTTCATACAGGGTTCCGTGATTCCAACCTAACAGGTACATTCAGCGACACGAGTAGGTCATGGCATGAACCTGTTGGGCATGTCATTGCATAAGTTGGGGGAACATTCGTTTATATCTGTAATATATACTGCTGACGAAAAAAAGACCCTGATGATTTCAATGTAACTATTGTTGAGGTGCATTTACAATACCGTGGCATTTCATCTAAGCACAAGGAAACTTCTCATCATGCATGTACGCGCACACAGAAGCCAAGTGTTTGCGCCTATTGTTATATGGCAGTGATTTTTATTGTCAAACAATGATTAGTCGTCAGGAATGTAGTACTATTTAATGTAAGCAGTGGAGAGGAAGTTACTATATTTAGATACTAGTGTAGTAGATACTAGATGTGTAAACTTCCAGAACAGCGTGGACTGGGATGGAGGGCAACACAAAAATGGAAGATTCTCTGATAGGATGGCACTGAGTTGACAGTTCTGTAAGGTTTTGGGGCTATATAAGAGGGCGAAGGCGTGACTAGTGAGTGAGTGAGTCAATATTTAACGTCACATCGGCAATATTTCAACCATATCGAAGGCGTGACTAAATAATCTCTCACATTTCATTATATCAAGACCAGCTTTCATGTGAAGATCACTTATCATCCCTGACTCCTTGCTTAAGCCTTTCTCGGATGTTTGACGACTGTCGCTACTGCATGAATATGTTATTATCACTGATTATCACCACTGTATTTGTATTTGATACTGACCACTGCCATCATATTTATAGAATACTAAACGAGCTCCCGTGTAGTACCAATTTTATGAAACGAGTGAATAGTTCTGGTATCTGACTCGCTTTCGCTCGTCAGATACCAGAACTATTCACGAGTTTCATAAAATTGGTACTACACGGGAGCGAGTTTAGTATTTTATTTATTACTCGTCATTTGTACCTACGTAAAAATCAGCTGATTGACTCCGTACGTCGCATCCGGAGTTCAAATCAGGTCATGCGTATGAATACAAAGTCATGTAAATAGTCATCGTCAAGTGCATCTATAATATCAAAATTTTAGCAATTCCAATGGAGAAAACACCCGAACGCTCTTTTTTTCCACAATAAATCTACTTTAATGAACTTCCTGCGAAACTTCGAAACTGCGGTAATGTTTCGAAAACAATAACAAAACAAGTTTATTCGTTCGTTGACAAGGCCAAGGTCACAACGTCACATGACCGCAGGCAGAGGGATTCCCCCGATGACAGTCTGTTTTCAAACTTTCTATCACTGGCGATTCATGTCTGATGACATGTCACTGCTATGGTTTAGAAAATTTACATTTATCACAGAATTGGTGATTGTACCGGCAAAGATAGAGCTGAGTGTGCGAGACTGGCTAGCTGTCACATTGAAAGTTTGGGATGGAGCAGAGACGGTCGACGGTTGGCAAGTCGGAACACAGAGCAGTGATTGTGAAGTGCAAGAATCACTAGGCCTGTCAATCAATGTACTGATGTGTTTGTGCTGCTCTTCAGAAATTTGTGAATAGTTATTGACACTCTGCACATTTCTATGGCCACTGATTTGCATTATCTGAGCAGGTGGAACATTTTTCTCAGAAAGAGTTTGGACCAGATACTTTCGGGCGGAATGATTCGTCAACCGTTTGGTAGATTCAAGTTTTGCATTCGCTGCCATGCGTTTCATTATGGACCCAAGCTTGTTGATGCCAACAGGTTGTCGCTTAAACCAAGGATGTGTCGGAGCGGGAGCAGTTTTAGAATTTGTTGCCAAGTAGAAAGGCGCGTCATGGCCACTGAAACCAGTTGGTCTGAGGTTAGCATAGCGCTTATACGCAAGGACGGGGCAGCGATTGTCACCTGTCGCCCAAGCTTTCGGCGTGACAGTCCGAACATCCCGGATGTTTACACCAGTGCGTGTTTTGGTTTGCCGCTCAGCAAACTGCAGGTACTCCATTCCATTTCCATCTTGATTCAACATCACGTCTCCCCAGTGCATATTTCTATGGGGAGTAACGCTACGTAGTCCAAAATGTGTCGTGTTGTGCCACCAAAGTGTATTCAAAATGGACTCGGGAGTTTCGAGACCTAATTCCCCGGATTTCCATAATGTGTCAATGTCGTTCTGACTTAATGACTGCGCACGCATAGGTAAGTTTCCGAGACCTTCTTGTTTTAGAATTTTTTGTTTGATTTTCAGTACCTCCCTGACGTGTGTAAACTCTAAATCGTGCATAATTGATTTCCCGTAAAATTTTGTTTTGAGGTGCCTGTCTATACTGGCAATCATCCCCCTCAAACTTGTGGGCTCATAATCGGACCCGTCTCCCTTTTTGACGTTCATAAAGAATTTGCATAAAAGTTTACAAAGTTCATGGGGAGGAATGGCTTCTAGTTGTCTGAAGTCATTCTGCTCGTGCATGAATCTAGTGATGATTTTCATGTCATACGCGGTCTTCCTGGAAGTGTTGACATTCTGATTTGTTGCAATGAAATTCGCAATTTCGGAATCGTCACAGTAGGTTGGCGGAACAGGTATTTCATTCCCCTTTAGAGGCACAGGCACAATATAAAAAAAGTCATCTTTGAATAGATCATTAAGATCGAACAAACTGTTGTCATTATCAACAAAGGTGGGTGGGGGTAACATGGCCGAAACTGTCTCCGGAATTCGTTGCGTTCGATAGCGAGGTACCTGTTTCATGGAACCATCATCCAGTTTAACGTTGAACATGCTGTATGTCCCTAAAGGTTGAACAACCGATAGCACCCGTCCCTTCAGCTGACCATCAATTTTGACACAATCGTTTACTTTTATAGCTTCGGTTGCCATTGTGATAGGATTATTCACTTGGCGATAGATTCATCGTCTGCTATATGTACTTTAATTTTCATGTCGTTTATTATTTCTAAGTTATGAATATTTTCTCATCCATATATTTAGAACATATTATTTTTTCGATTTCATGATAATTCATCTGAAGAAAAAGTATTTGTAGTCACGCCCTGGTGAGAATCGGTACATTTTGACAGTAGCCATTTTGTTTGGTCATGTGATGTATCATGTGGCCGGCCAAAAATAGTTCCGCGTGCACGTGATGTTATTAAACAATGTGTAATACCGCTGTATGTTTATTAAACGGGTGATCTCTTCACGGATGAGTAATAATATATATTACCATCGAATATTGCACTACCACTCTATTGTGTACTGCCATTGCTGTGCAGCATTTTGTATTGATTTGTAAACCTAGTAATCGAATTTTTTTTATTGTATACCATTTGTTCGTTTCACACTAAGTTCAGATACAGATTTCTTGGTTAACATATTGTTTCAATTTGGGAATCGACAAGTAATGCGGTATAAGAACTCATATTAACTTGTGCAATTGAGCTAAGCACACGCTTATAAATGTCTCAGTGAACAGACGAAATGGCGAATTGTGGGTACGATAGAGCGAGGGCATCAATATTCTAAGTTGCCCGAAAGTTTGGCAAATACAAAAGTGTAATGTCTCAACTGTACCGTCAAACGGTTGAGGTTGCAATGAGACCTTGGCGTGGTATGCCTAAAAGAACGACACCTAGGCAAGATCGTCTCGTCACATTGATTGTACCAAGCAATAGATTCAGATCTGCTCATATTCTCAATGGAGAATTCCGTACAATAACAGGAAGGTTAATTTCAATGTCCATCGTGAAGTACTAACACTATGCAGCTCGCCAGGCGTCCTTTGAAGGGAGTTACCTCAGCACTTTACCAAGGTGGCAAAGATTTGGGCGGGCTGGGCAACACAAGGGACGAGCTCTGCGCCACTTGCTTTACACCTTGTTCACGGACGGTGTTGCCTCCGATTTACAGATGCCAGGAAACGTTGTTAGCGACGTAGCGGCGAGCTGTATGGCAGGGCAACAATTCTTGACCATGATATGGGGGCAGTAGTGTCATTGTGTCGGGCGGTATCACAAGTGACAGGCGAACTGATTTGTTTATTTGTTAACTGCAAAACCAGGCCGTCAGCGATTGGACTGGCCCGCTAAGTCCCTAACACGTCGTCCCCAAAAGAGCATCTGTTGGATGTTTTGGTGTGGAGAGAGACCCAGCACACACTAACGTGGCCCAACTTTTGGTAGCTCCTCAGGCGGAATGGCGGACAATTCCGAGGGCAACCATACGCAAGTTGATCAATAATATGCCAAGGTCGACACACCAAACATTGGTCAACACGCCCGAAATAACTTCCAGACGCTTACATTTATTGCACATTCACTATCAACCCATCACGTCATTTTGTGTCGGTAGTATATTGAACACTTTCCTCCATTTATATAATAAAAAAATAAATAAAGATGTTGCAGCTTGCCTCGCGTGTCTTTCTTCTTGTTACAACGAGGAATCCACATGCCTGAGGGAATTGCACCTAATGGGTGTTGATTCTGAAGGATCCTTGACAACTTTGTGCATCACGTTACGCAAAGATGTATAACTGTATCACGAACCTGTCTCTTGAATTCATTTTTGCATGAGGTAGCCATTATTCTAACATCAACTGCATAAAAAATCATTGCTATCTGCTGAAACTGATCATGAACAGGGGATTATCGAAACTATTTCAGTGGTTCATGAGGAAGCCACATGTGAAGTTATTCCTGAAAACTGTATAAGACGGAGTACATCTTACCTGTGCTGCAGTTCCAGTCTGTATACCCAGCTACACAATCACAGGTGTAGTTGTTGACGTGTTCGACACATGTACCGTTCACACATGGGTTTGTTGCACACTCGTCGATATCTACAAACATGTAAATAAATCGGTTATTATGAATTAACCCAAACGTACATGTATATGTATATTTTGAATGTAGACCAATGTAGGTTATATGGTCAGCGTGTGTTGACCGCTGGGTTGTTGAAAATGAAGAGATGACGTTCAGATACAGATTGTATGGTCAAGTTTAAACTGTAAACATGATGTAAAAATATATAATAGCAGAGGTTCGACCCTTGCACTGGAGCAACACCTAGACAAGCAGTGAGGACTGCACTGTGTCAAAATCCGCTTGGTCACCATTTTCGTTTTAAGCCACAAACTTAAAAAGCTCTTACAGTTATAATATTGAATGCTAGCCCATAAGATCTTGTTCCTAAACGCCATTGGCGAGGTAAATATTGTTACATGGAAAATAGTTAGAAGTAAACAATTAAGGAAGACATTATGTATGGATATAGAATGGAGATAGTCAGTTTCTGATTGAAAGGGGATAGCAGGGGAATTTAGCACACAGTAGAGGTATCAGTAAATGCGCCAACGTGCCACTTAATGTTCTGCTCAATCACTTGTTGGTCTCGTTTGTTAACAAGCTGACGTCGCATAGCTTAGCTCGAGTACTGCCATGCGACGTCAGGAAACAAACACTTAAATTTTCATGCAATTTGTTTGAGTGGCGGGTGCTACCTGTAGGGCAGGACATACATGCCTTTTTGCGATCCCCTGACGCCATCACTGATTGTCAGTGATCCTTAAATAGAATTTTCTTGCCATGTTTCGGCGGATAATCGAGACTGGGGTTGACGTTTTACATAACATCGTTATTGCAGGACTTCACACATGTAGTATTTCCTGAGCAGTTATGATAATTCAATTCTAACTTTCAAGAATATTTGACCCGTGAAGATCCGGGGTGGAATAGGTCTTCGGCAACCCATGCTTCCGTAAAAGGCGACTATGCTTGTTGTAAGAGGCGATCGGCTTGTTGACTTGGTTGATGTATGTCATCGATCCTAATTGTGTGGATCGATGCTCATGATATTAAGCACTGGATTGTCTGGTTCCGACTCGATTATTTACATCCCTCCGCTTTATAACTTGAATATTGGTGAATGCGGCGTTAAACAACAAACAAACAAACATTCAAGAATATTTAACAATGATGTCCTGGTGCATTGTGTAATGTGATGCACTTCCATGGTGTCCGAACTGACGCCGTCCTATCTATCAGGGTTATATTGAATATTAAACCTGTGTGAGACAGGGGAAAACTCCTCACCTGTGCTACAGTTCCTGTCTGTATATCCGGGTACACAGTCACAGGTGTAGTTGTTGACGTGGTCGACGCATGTACCGTTCACACATGGGTTTGTTGCACACTCGTCGATATCTACAAACAGGTATATAAATCGGTTATTATTATTTATTTATTTATTTATTTATTTACAGATTATATAAGTATATGGGTTGAATAAGTTAAAAGGGTTTGGGTGATCCTGGCACAGTCATCAAGTTGGTTAGGCTGATCATCAGCTCAGGGCACTTGGACCCTCAACGCGCACCCTAAACAGCGAATGGGACTTCTCCCAGGAAGCAAATACACAAAGGGTATGTGGTGTCTTTTTTCACGTACTACATGAAACTACATGAATGAGATGAATGAGATAAATCCATCTGTCAGTACCTTCGTCAACGTCACCTCATACAAAACATAACTATGTAAAGCATTGATAAGAGATGCCTCTTGGGGAAGAAGGGGTATAAGGGAGCATAAGGAGTATGCAGAACAAGAAGAGATGGAATGTTTCAAAATTCTTTATTGTTTGGAACGACGTTTCAGCACTACTACTCTCGCCTTCATCATTCACATGGTGCATATGAAGGGGTACGATGTTGGACGTAAACGCCGTTGCAGACACTAAGAAAGTTGTTATCCATAAACGTTTCATGTCTCCATCTTTCATTGATAAGTGAAACTATTTCGAGAAGCTGTTGAATTCCGAATAATACGAGCCTACAATAATTATTTCAACAATATTTAAAACGATAATGTATTGGCTCGGTGTACGTGTGCAGTGAAGTCGCCCTTTAAATAATCACCGGACACATCGGTGATCGCCCGGAAAGCATGGTGTACGAAATGATGGGGTCAGGACTGTCGGAGCCATACTGAATATAAAACCTGTGTGAGACAGTGGAGGACCTTTTCTCACCTGTGCTGCAGTTCCTGTCTGTATACCCAGGTTCACAGTCACAGGTGTAGTTGTTGACGTGGTCGACACATGTACCGTTCACACATGGGTTTGTTGCACACTCGTTGATATCTACAAAGAGTCACATCAAGAATTAAACAAAATGTATCTGCACATGTTGGTTTGGTTTTTATTGAGTTATGTATATTCCTGTCAAAGTAGGTTACATGTGTTGGTCGTTGGCTCGCTGACATAATGAAAATAAAGATAATGCTGAAGGGATACAGATTATATACATGTTCCAGTATACAGTTTCTACACTGTTCAATATACATGCAGATCTAGACGTTCGACCCTTGCACTGGAGCAGCACAAGGACCAGCAGTACGAATTGCTCAGTGTCAAAGTACTCTAGTTCCTTCTAGTTTTCTATTCAAATATTGATGGTTGGCCCATAACGTAAACATGAACACATATAGAATAAATAAATGTGAGCAATAACCTATGAAGGAAGACACATGACACTTAATTACGGTTGTGTGGACTTAAATTAAGTATAGATAATAGAATGGGGATTAGTCGGTTCCTGTGTCGCCACCTAGAACCCCGCCATGTATCAAATATGCAACATGTTTCCCCATGACTCTGGTATGCTCTCTAACGATGTAAGAGGGGTCGCCCTTAGACTCCCTTGGAATCTTCAATATTGCATGTCATTCTTTTGTTGCGTACGAGGGCTAGTTTAGGACTGAATCTTCTGAATGATCGTCCAGAATAGGCACTCGATGGAGAATGCATGACTGATGCGAAGGTATACAGTGTGACAGACGAAATGACACTCCATAGTCAAAGGGTTTTTGAATATTCTTTTGCATCATGCTTTTGAGAAATGAATAAGTTTAGTATCATGTAAAAGTAACAGGAAATACATGTTAATCACACCGGAAAATACGTGAATCACCAGGGGAGATAACTAACAAAGGAAAAAATATTTTGACCCTTTAAAAGTTTCAATTCTTGCTACGTAGGTTAGTTTACAAAGTAGGAAAACAACCTTCTCCAATTCGTTTTTGTTAAAAATTAATTTAAATGTTTTTGAACATCTAAATGATAAAGCAAGTATGTTCTTTTCCCAGGTAACAGTAGAATTATACATTAACTATTTCTAAACAGTAAATAAATTTAACTACAGATTTTACAAAGATTTTTCTATTTGACATGCAGAATGTGTTCATGACGTAGAAGGGCAGTATGGAATAGCATCAGTAGCAATAGTCGCAGCATTGAAAACAAAAATATTTAAATGTCATTCAAATTTTCTAATTTTCCCTAAGTTGACTTGATTTGGTGTTGTCTGTTCCAGTTAATAAAAGTTGGTCAGGAAGACTCCTCACCTGTGCTGCAGTTCGAGTCTGTATACCCGGGTTCACAGTCACAGGTGTAGTTGTTGAAGTGGACGATGCATGTACCGTGCACACATGGGTTTGTTGCACACTCGTCGATATCTACAAACATGTATATAAATGGCTTATTCCTTTTCTTCTTCCTTTTCTTCATCTTCTTCTTATTATTTACAGATTTTAAATGCAACAAAGAGGGTTTGGATGATCCTGGCACAGTCAGGCTGGTTAGGCTCATCATCAGCTCAGGGCCCTTGTCCCCTCTACATGCAGCCCAGACAGCCAATGGGAGTTCTCTAAGGAAGCGCTGCCGAGTCGAAGCCAGAACCTTTCGGAGAATGTGAAGACTCCCAAACACTGCAGCTTTCTGTATTACCCAGATTGTCAGAAGTGCTGTATTCCTGGCAGCAAACACTGGTACTCTCGCAAACTCAGTCAACAGGGGGCGGTCGGGTAGCCTAGTGGTTAAAGCGTTCGCTCGTAACGCCGAAGACACGGGTTCGATTCCCTACATGGGTACAATGTGTTAAGCCAATATCTGGTGTCCCCCGCCGTGATTATGCTTGAATATTGCTAAAAGCGGCGTAAAACAATACTTACTCACTCACTCAGTCAGTCAACAGATTATGAGGTACCAAACGTAAGGCACTGAGAACAAAGGAGAATCGGACAATTTGGTACTTGGGTTGAAAGCGTGACATTTTGTAAGCGAGGTCCGCTTATTTGCCATATTTTCCCTGAACTTTGTCAATCATATTAGTGTCAAAAGGGACAGGAAATTCAATGATATGAATGATTTCATGGGATATATCAAAAAGGACAAGATATGGGTTGTTGGTCTGGATAGGTCTGAGGCTGTATGCGGGCCTATTCCAAAGAATTTTGTATATATCATTTACCTTGACGCCCTCAAATTATTCTAGGTCCACCATGGATGGACCACTGTGTCAATACCACATGCATGGCTAAGACGGTAACAAAAAAGGATCGAGCCACTCCATTATGTCGCCTAAGATACTGTGTTTGTGCCAAAGCTGGGTGTGAGTGAGTGAGTGAGTGAGTTGGGTTTAAGGCCGCTTTTAGCATTATTCCAGTTATATCACGACGTGTCGTGGTGCTGACAAACCTAGAAAGATAATCGGGGCGAACCGGGATTCGAACCCACAATCATAGTTTTCTTGAGTGCCCAAGGGACGCAACTCTGCACGGCGAATCGCGGCGCCTTAGACGACTGGGCCACCCGTGCCCCCACCAAAGCTGGGAATCCACTAACAATGTGTTGGACAGTCTCATTAACTTCATTGCATAATCTACATTTCATATTTACTTTTTGATGCAAAATCACACATTGACGATTTCGAGTGGGAGATCACTGATCCTGAGCAGAAAACAGAAAGCCTTCTGTTTCAGTTTCCAGGCCAGCCCACTTCATCCAATTGAAGGACTCTGCGGGGTTTCTGTTCTCAACACACTGCACATAAACCTGATGCAGTCGTCGTTCAAAAAGCCTCTCCCGTGTGAGCCGATTTGATGTGGCTCTTCGCTTGGTTGACGCTCATATCTGTACCGTCCAGCAGTACAGAACCATCAATAAAATCAACATTGACATTGAGATTAGTCCCACGTCCTCAGCCCGTTTAACGAAAACTGTGGAATGCCTTGTTTTCATCATGAATCTTGACATGTTTTACAAGAGGATAATCAGACAAATAAATATGTGCAAAAGTACACAAGATCACTCCATCACGATGAGCCTCCACTTTATCATACCACGCCCTCCCATTAAAATATGTAAATATAATTGATCGAGGGAAGAGCGTGGGTGGTTTAATCTATTGTCAGACATGATTTTCGTGTGAATTTGTTAATATCCCGAATTTCTTGTTTTATCTTATCAACACCACCAAAAGAATAGGAAAGGACGGGTGCAGCATAAGTATTTGTGTGCTTAACCTTTTTGCGAGCATTCAGCTCTGAACTCCAGATTTTCTTGGGTCTACATTTTGTATTCTGCCCTAAGTTTGTCTTTGATATTGTCTTTGTCACGGTGTCCGAACTGATGGGGTCCGGACTGCCGGAGACATACAGAATATACAACGTGTGTGAGATGGGGAAGGACTTCTTACCTGTGCTGCAGTTCCTGTCTGTATACCCAGGTTCACAGTCACAGGTGTAGTTGTTGACGTGGTCGACACATGTACCATTCACACATGGGTCTGTTGCACACTCGTCAATATCTACAAACAGTTACATGAAGATTTCATAGTAGATTACTTGTGTTGACCGTTGGCTTGCTGACATAATGGAAATAAGGATAATTGTAGAGATGTACAAGTAGATATGAAGAAATCGCCTTGTAAATACTCTCCGGAAACAACGGTGATCTCCCGGGAAGCGAACTGATGGGGTCCCGCCATATTGAATATAAAACCTGTTTGAGACAAGGAAAGAATTCTCACCTGTGCTGCAGTTCCAGCCTGTATACCCAGGATCACAGTCACAAGTGTAGTTATTGACGTGGTCGACACACGTACCCTGCACACATGGGTTTGTTGCACAGTCGTCAATATCTACAAACAGTTACATCAGGAATTAATGTCAAAGTAGATTACTTGTATTGACCGTTGGATTGCTGACATAATGAAAATAAATATAATGATAGAGATGTACACATACTCTTCAAAAGAAGAAACTATACTTCATGATTGCAACTGGGTTTATGTGTCGAGTTTAGATCTTATATGTATTATAAATAGTGGAATGTATAGGTCAATTATTGCGGTACCATATGCATTTAACAAAAAACAGGTGCAAAGACGTCCGGGGTAGGTTTAATGTCAGTAACGATCCCGGCCTCCTTGAGCTGCTATCACCTCATGGCAGCGACTGCCCATAGACGCGAAAGTCCGAATAACAGCCCGGGGGATGTTCTGTAACTCCTTCTCTAGCGCCACAGAAAGTTCCTGCAGTGTTCGTGACGCTGGTTGACGTTGACGGACACGACGATCAAGAAGGTCCAGCAGATGTTCAATAGGGGACAAGTCTAGCGAGCGAGCAGGCCAGGGTAGCGTATGCACGGTGTTCTGACGCAGTAACTCTATGCAAACAAGTGCGATGTGGGGTCTGGCGTCGTCCTGCTGACAGATGCCGCCATTGACCTTGATGAAGGGAAAAACGTTGCGCTCCAGGATTCCTTCTCGCTTGTGTAGACCATTCAGGGTACCATCCACTCTCACAAATGCTGTCCGGCCTCCGTGATGAATGCCTCCCCACACCATAACGCTCCCCTCTCCAAAACGACCAATTTGCGGAACGCAATTTTCAGCGTAACGTTCGTTACGACGTCGGTACATAAGGGCACGTCAATCTGCACGACTCAGCAGAAAATGTGACTCGTCGATGAACAGAACACGTCTCCATCTTGCTTGAGTCCATGTGACTCTGACGACACCACTGCAGACTTTCCCGGAGGTGATGCGGCGTCAGGATGTTACGCCGCATGGGTCTCCTGGCTAGAACACCGGCTGCTCTCAGACGATTTCGAACAGTCTGATCCGATATTCGACGCAGTCCCGGTATTTGTGTGGCTGTTGACATCGCCGAGATGAAACGGCCCCGCAGGTGTTGTACCCGGATGTAGTGATCTTGGCCAGGCGTTGTAACGCGAGGTCGTCGTCCTGACCTTGGCCTGCCACGAACGTTGCCGGTGGTGTTGTAACGTCTCCACAAGTTAGAGATGGTCAATCTGGTCTCACCCATCACCTGCGCCACATGCTGTTGGGTTTCACCCGCTTGAAGTCGTCCAATGGAGTTGTTGAGTCTTGCTTCTGATAGACGTGGCATTTTAACGGCTCATTTTCTGATTTTCTGGTGTGTGTGTCAGCAGTAATTGTCATGGCCTTTTAAACCTTGCTGACAGAGGAATTGTTACGACAGTTCAGGAAATTGCATGCTGCACGCATATAGCGTTGCTGCTGCGTTTGGGCGAATTGCTCCGTCGCGACGTCACAGCATTACGTTTCAGACAATCTGCATGTTTACTCGAAAATTTAATGAAATTTAATGATAAAATTATATTTCCACCATACAAAAACTATCGGGTTCAGTGTCATCAAATTTATGCATGTATAGTTTCTTTTTTTTGGAGAGTATATATTCCAGTATACAATCTCTTCAATATACATACAGGCATTCGACCCTTGTACAACAGTGAAACTCCATCAATTAAGATTGGTCCGACACAATCCCCCGGTAAATACACTCCGGACACAACGGCGAACACCTGGATAGCACTGTGTTCGAACTGATGGGGTCCAGACAATCGGAGCCATATTGAATACAAAACCTGTGTGAGACAGGGAAAGAATTCTCACCTGTGCTGCAGTTCCAGCCTATATACCCAGGTTCACAGTCACAGGTGTAGCTGTTGACGAGGTCGACACATGTACCATTCACACACTGGTTTGTTGCACACTCGTCAATATCTACAAACAGTTTCATCAGTAATAAATGTGTTGACCGTTGGATTTGCTGACATAATGAAAATAAAGATAATGATAGAGATGTATATATATTCAAGTATATAGTAGCTTTACTTTGTTAAATAAACATACAGACGTTGGACCCTTGCACTGGAGCAGCACAAGGACCAGTAGTACGAATTGCTCAGTGTCGAACTCCTCTTGTTCACCATTTCTATTTAAATATTGATGGTTGTTCCAGGAAGACACATGACACTTTATTACGGTTGTATGGACTTAAATTAAGAATAGATAATAGAATGGGGAATAGTCAGTTCCTGTTTCGTCACCTACAGCACCACCCTGTATCAAATATAGAAAATGTTTCCTCATGACTCTGGTATGCTCTCTCACGATGTAAGAGGGGTCGCCCTTAGACTCCCTTGGAATATTCAATATTGCATATCGTTATGTAGTTGTTATTCGAGGGCTAGCTCAGAATGATCGTCCAAAATAGGCACTCGATGCAGAATGCATGGCTGATGCGAAGATATGCAGTGTTACAGACGAAATGACACTCCATAGTCAATGTTTGTTTTTGGATTCTTTTGTATCATGCTTTAGAGACTTTGATGAGTCTACCATTTAAAAGTAACAGGCAATACATGTGTATCCTACCGGAAAATACGACTCAGAAACAAATAGTTTGTCCCTTTTAAGGTTATATTTCTTCCTACGTAGATTAGTTTTCAAAGTAAGAAAGCAATCTTTGTCAATTCTTTTTTGTTTAGAATTTAATTTTAATGTTTTTGAACATGTAAATGATAAAGCAAGTATGTTCTTTTCCCAGTTAACAGTAGAATTTTACATAAATGTACTATTTCTAAACAGTAAATATATTTTCCAACAGATTTTCCAAGGATTTTTCTTATTTGACTTGCAGAATGAGTTCACGACATAGAGGGCAGTACTGAATGCCATTAATTGTAAAAGTAGTAGCATTAATAAAAAATATTTAAATGTCATTCAAAGTTTCTACTTTTCCCCACGTTGTCTTGATTTGGTTTTGTCTATTCTAGTTTCAAACACTTGGTCAGTTGGACTCTTCACCTGTGCTGCAGTTCCTGTCTGTATACCCGGGTTCACAGTCACAGGTATAGTTGTTGACGTGGTCGACACATGTACCGTTCATACATGGGTTTGGTGCACACTCGTTGATTACTACAAACATAAATCTATATTTGTGTACTGATGAAAATAAATAATGCAAAGAGGGTTTGGGGGATCCTGGCACAATTTGGCACGTTAGGTTCATCATCAGCTCAGGGCCTTTGCCCCCTCTACATGCAGCCCAGACAGCTAATGGGACTTCTCACAGGAAGCGCTGCCGAGTCGAACCCAACACAGGACGTTTTGGTGAATGTTATGACTCCCAAACACTACAGCCTTCTGCATTACACATGCTGTGGCAGCAAACCTGGGTACTCTTCCAATATGTCAGTCAACAGATTTGGAGGTACCAAACATAAGGCAACGAGAACAATGGGGAGTTGGACAACTTGGTACTTGGGATGCAAGCGTGACATTTCGAAAACGAGGTCCGCATATTTGCCATGTTTTTCCTGAATCTTATCAATCACAAAAGTGTCAAAAGGAACAAAAAATTTAAAAACATACATTATTACAATGGATTTATCAAAAAGGAGTGAGTATGGTTTTTTGGCCGCTTTTAGCAATATTCCAGCAATATCACGGCGGGGGACACCATAAATGGGCTTCACACATTGTACCCATGTCGGGAATCGAACCCGGGTCTTAGGCGTGACGAGCGAACGCTTTAACCACTAGGCTACCCGACCGCCCCTTATCAAAAAGGACAAGATCAGGGTTGTTAGCCTGGAAACGTCTGAGGCTGTATACGGGCCTCTTCCAAAGAATTTTATATTCATCATTTTCCATGACGCCCTATACATATTCTTGGTTATACCATGGATGGACCTCTGTGTCAAAACCACAAGCATTGCGAAGACGGTAATAAAATTATCGAGCCACACTATCATGTGGCTTAAGATACTGTGTTTGTGCCAAAGCTAGGCATCTACTAACAATGTGTTGGACAGTTCTCATTAACGTCATTGCATTATCTACATTTCATATTTACACGTTAATGCAAAATCACACATTGACGATTTCGAATTGGAGATGACTGGTCCTGAGCAGCAAACAGAAAGCCTTCTATTTCACTCTCAGGCCAGCCCGCTTCATCCAATTGAAGGACTCTGCGAGGTTTCTGTTCTCAACACACTGCACATAAACATGATGCAGTGGTCGTTCAAAAAGCCTCTCCCACACATTGATGAGTGGGACGTGGCTGGTCCTGAGCAGCAAACAGAAAACCTTCTGTTCACTTCCAGGCCAACCGATTTCGTCCAAGCGAAGGACTCTGCGGGGTTGCTGATCTTCTCAACACGCTGCACATGAACTCGATACAGTGGTCGTTCAGAAATTTGAAAGTTGACGCTCTTCAACAATTTGCACGATATATTTTCACAGTTAACCTTTGATAAATATTCTTAAATGTATTTAAAATGAGATATGTCCATATATCAGTACCCTTTTCCAACAGTACCTGGTACAAAACAAAACTATGTAAAACATTGATGAGAGATGCCTCTTGAGGATGATTACGGAACTTCATCTTAAACCAAAGGAAGAAAAACGTCTCAAGTTGGCATTGGGAGCATGTAGAACAAGAAGAGATGGAATGTTTCAAAATTCTTGTTTGTTTGGAACGAAGTTTCAGCACTACTACTACCCTCGCCTTCATCATTCACATGATGCATATGAAGGGGTACGATGTTGGACGTAAATGTCGTTGCAGACACTACGAAAGTTGATATCCATAAACGTTTGATGTCTCTCCATAAAGGTATCTTTCATCAATAAGTGAATCTATTACGATAAACAATTGAATTCTGAATAACGCGAGCCTACAATTTCAACAGTATTCAAAACGACTCTGTGTTGGGTCGATGTACGTGAACATTGAAACTCCGTCAATCCACGTTAATCCTATAGAAATCGCCCTGTAAATACACTCCGGACACAACGGTGATTGCCCGGAAATCATGGTCTACGAAGTGATGGGGTCCGGGCTATCGGGGCCATACTGAATAGAAAACCTGTGTGAGACAGTGAAGGTCTTCTTCTCACCTGTGCTGCAGTTCCTGTCTGTAAACCCGGGTTCACAGTCACAGGAGTAGTTGTTGACGTGGTCGACACATGTACCGTTCACACATGGGTTTGTTGCACACTCGTCGATATCTACAAACAGTTACACCAGAAAATGGAACAGTGTGTTGGATTGCTGACAAAATGAAAATAAAGCTAATGATAAAGACATAGAGATTGCATATATGTACAAGTATACATAATCTACATTGTTGTTCAATATACATACACACGTTCGACCCTTGCACTGGAGCAGCACAAGGACCAGCAGTCCGAATTATGTTTAAATGTTGATGGTTGGCCCATAAGGTAAACATCAACACAAAGAATAGTTACATGTGAGCAATACACTATGAAGGAGGACACATGATACTTAATTACGGTTGTGTGGAGAATGGAATAGGGTTTAGTCAGTTCCTGTTTCGCCACCTAGAGCCTCGCAATGTATCAAATATGCAACATGTTTCCTCATAACTCTGGTATGCTCCCTTGACTCCCTTGGAATCTTCAATATTGCATGTCATTCTGTAGTTGTGTACGAGGGCTAGCTGAGGATGGTATCTTAAGAAGGATCTCCAAAATACCCACTCGAGGCAGAATGCATGGCTCTCTGCATTCGGATTTTGATGCGAAGGTGCACAGGCGAGATCACACTCCATGGTCAATATTTATTTTTGGATTCTTATGTATCATGCCTTTGAGACATTAAAGAGTTTAGTATGATTTAAAAGTAACAGGAAAAACATGTGTATCACTCCAGGGGAGATAACTCAGGAAGGGAAAGAAATATTTTTTCGCTTTTAAAGTTTCATTTCTTGCTACGTAGTATAGTTTTCAAATTATGAAAATAACCTTTTCCAATTCGTTTTTGTTAAGAATTTAATTTTAATGTTTTTTTAATATCTAAATGATAAAGCAATTATGTTCTTTTCCAGGTAACAGTGGAATTATGCATTTACTATTTCTAAACATTAATTAATTAATTTCACTACAGATTTTCCAATGATTTTTCTTATTTGACTTGCAGATTGAGTTCACGGCATTCGAGGGCAGTACTGATTACCATTCGTAGTAATAGTAGTTACATCAATAAAAAAACCTATTAAACTGTCATTCAAACGTTCTACTTTTCCCCCAAGTTGTCTTGATTTGGTGTTACATAATGTTCATATGCTTTCATGGACATTAGGAGACCACGTATATTATATATGTACTAAATTTGATCTTTTGTGTTGATTTTTTTTATATATAGAAAAACAGTTTTATTTGAATCAAGTTGGGGACGAGTGATACTTGTACAAATACTTGCCCCCCTGTCAAACAAAGTTAACTACGGCCTGACCCGTGAAGATCTGGGGTAGAACAGGTCTTCAGAAACCCATGCTTGCCGTAAAAGGCGACTATGCTTGTCGTAAGAGGCGACTAATGGTTGATGCATGTCATCGATCCCATTTGCGTGGATCGATGCTAATTAGATTAATCACCTGATTGTCTGGTCCAGACTCGATTATTTACAGACCGCCGTCATATAGCTTGAATATTGCTGAGTGCGGCGTTAAACAACAAGCCAACCCAACAACCAACCAACTTACCTATCTCGCAGAGGCTGCCACTGTATCCAGCAGTACAGTTACAGCTGTACGACTCCAGCTGATCGACGCAGCTGCCGTTTGCACAGCTGTTGTTGGCGCAATTATCTATGATGTCTGCAAGAAAGCAAAGTTATTATATCTGATAATCTTGCGTTCGGTATTTTCGTGCTTTTCATGATATACATGAACGTGTATGAAATAGCAAGCGCATGAATTTCTTGTGGAGTACATTTCTCTGAAGTCATAAACTTGATGACTGCTTGATAATCGTTCTTTTCCATTTGAACTCCTGCCACGTTCAACTTTCAGTAATATACTAACGGCCACAACAGATCATATACACTTGCAATGAACGACTAACAGAATGGCCTACAGTTGAAAGTTGGTCAGGCTTAGACCTTTGACCAGCCCTCAATGATATTCTTAGCCCTTACCTGTGTCACAGTGAGCTCCTCCCGATCCATTGGCACAGTCACATTGGTAGAGGTTTGTCAGGTTTGTACAGGCGCTGGAGAACTCGCATGGGCCCACGCTGCAGCCGCCTGAAGCTTAAATAGATACAACTCAATAACACATGCAAGTTCTTTTATTGCCAACAACAGTGGCGTGTTTATTGACAGTTTTGTTTGTTTCTTTGTTATTTAACGCCGCACTCAGCAATATTCCAGCAATATGACGACGGTCTGTAAATAAACGGGTCAGGACCAGACAATCCAGTGATTGACATCATGAGCATCGATCCACGCAATTGGGATACGATGACATGGATAAACCAAGTCAGCCAGCCTGACCACCCGATCATGTTAGTCGCCTCTTACGACAAGCATAGTCGCTTTTTACGGCAAGCATGGGTTGCTGAAGACCTATTCTACCCCGGATGTTCACGTGTTGTTTATAGAAGTACCGATGGTGGCATACACATATCCAAATAAGGCAAACTGAAGGATGCACTTCCGGCAAGTATGTGTAGGCGTTGGGAGCTCATCTCATTTGAACCAAGTTACTTTGATACCTGACGTGTCATTAAAAGTTTATATAGTTTCGTGACGTTTTCAAGTTTTCAACACTACCAACGAAGTCCTCTTAAGGCTATGAGGGGGCACGGGTGGCCCAGTCGTCTACGGGTGGCGCCGCGATTCGCTGTCCAGAGTTGCGTCCCTTGGGCACGCCAGGAACCTATGATTGTGGGTTCGAATCCCGGTTCGCCCCGATTATGTTTCTAGGTTTGTCAGCACCATGCCCGTGCTCGTGGGTTTCACCGAAGTGGTAAACGTCTGAGACCTGCATCACTTCGGGCTTCCCTCCAACATTAAGCTGACACGCCGTGATATAACTGGAATACTGTTAAAAGCGGCGTTAAACCCAACTCACTCACTCACTCACTCAGGCTATGAAATAAAACAGAGATGCGATACATGATTAAGCAAGAACAATTACGGTCGTTCAATTTTATGTGCAACAATGACCACACACTTGACATTTAGAGTCAGTGTGCTTTTTTGCATAAATAAAACCCCAGTTGTCTCCTCGCCCTTGTCTATCGGCGATCGAGTCAGAATTCTCCATAGTTTTGTTAAGCATACTATTACGTCATACATGTCTTGGTGTCTCAAAACACGTTTTATTTGTAATTCTACTGTTGGCGTTGAGCTTGTGATACATATATCAAAATCGTAGATTCTTGCAAAACGTGCAATGCTTACGTACGGTAAGTGATATGTAAACACTATGTATTAGTTAAAAACAATGTTTAAGCCTTATAGAAGACATTTACCATCCAAACACACTCTTAAGATGTAGGACTCGTTAATTATTTAAATATATCACTGTGCAACGTCATATTTACCGATAAGGTTATAATTAACGTGTTCATGGTAACTTAAATCATATCATTATAAACCTATCAAAGATAGGACAATTTGCGTGTGCGACAGAGTAAACATATATAGAGACGGTCATATTCGTCAGTTGGCCAGGGGTGCAAAACAAGATTTTCGTTCCCACATTTTCCTGTATACCCTAAACCTTTTCTATTGCATAGAGGAGGTATCTGTACACAATTTTCATTGGGTAGTAAGCTTGCACAGGAGGTGCAAAATCCATAACCGTATTGCACCCCCTGCCGAACCAGTGGAACTCGAAGACAGCGTGTATAGCGTAATATATTCGTACAGAAAATTACCACACCCCTCTATCTATATATAGATAGAGGGGGTGTGATTTTTTCTATACGAATATATTACGCTCTGCACACTGTCATCGAGTTCATGTGTGCCTTGCTGAAACCGCTTATCAGTCCATTCAGACCGCCTCCGTGGAAGAGCGTCCGCCCGGAGAGCGGAAGGTCCGGGGTTCGATCCCCGACCGCGTCGTACCATAAGACGTTAAAAAATGGTACTTGTTGTTACCCTGTCTGGCGCTCGGCATTAAGGGGCTAAAACAAGGACTGGTCGGCTCGGAGTCAGTATACTGTGTCTGAGTGGGGTATTCATGTTAAACTGCGGCATGGTATCTCAGTGAGCTAGCACTATAAATCGGCATCAGTCACAAGCAGCCACAAAAACACACACACGTACATGCACGTCGCTATATAAGTGCAATAATCTTGGACGCAACGTTAAACCCCATTTCACCTCACCTATCAGTCCATTCAGAATGGGCGATCGTTAACGGCCAGGTTGGTGAGAAATTAGAGTTACTTCCCTTAGTGCGTCGTTTGCTCGTCTGATAAATGTCGGCTATAGCTTTCCCGTGACAATGTTCGTCGGACATACACGGACTTCTTGGGTGTTTTATAGATAGATATATTTCACAATTTGAAGTTACGTTATTATATGGCAGTTTTCATCTCAACCCTCGGCTCGTTCGACCCTCGGGTTGATAGGGTGTGAGATATAGAAATATTATATGTTAACCGCTAAGTGACAGGCCATCACCAGATGATGGTGGTAATAGCAGGGAACAGACACCAGTATCCCAGGCCGGCCGATGATGGTCGGGCTCGGTCACTTGACTGATTTCGTGTCATTGAGCCTTACTGCTGTGGATCGTGGCTCAAATATATACTTCAAATGAGTGAGTTTTTGTAAGGCATTTCAGTTATGGCTTGGGAAGTCAGCCTGATGTGGTTGAGAGGCCCAATGTAATTCTGGTCTTACAACCAACGAGGTATGGTATTTGAAAACCTAGAAAGAGTCAAGGTGAATCCGAGGTTCGAACCCACGATCATAGGCGCCTGTTACGCCTAGGGGAGGCAACTTGGCACGGTGATCTGCCGCGTCTTGAACAACAGGCACATCCGTCCCCCCATATTCGTCAAAGTCGAGGTATGTTCGAGATTCGTTTTATACAACAAATCAGGCGAAGAACTTGCTTGTCCTCGTAGCGAATAACAACAAGATTGTTGATGGGACGTCAATCAATAATCACCCCTCACTCCCTTACTTACTGTTATGACACTGGTATTCAAAGTATCCCGATGTGCACGAGCATGGATACGGAGTCCCGTCTGAACACACCGTTGATGCAGGACATGCGGTCTTGTCTGGAACATAACCAAGAAAACCATAGAACACAACACACAAAATGAAGTCAGGAATGCACATTATCCAAAAAAACTAAAACTAACTTTGAATTACCTTGAAAAAACTGCCACATACAGGTCGTGGTTATATATACCAACAAAAGGACAAATATGACATCTTACAACTTAACCATATACAAAACCATTTTGTATATACCAACTTAAGACAAATATGACATCTTACAACTTAACCATATACAAAACCATTTTGTATATACCAACTTAAGACAAATATGACATCTTACAACTTAACCATATACAAAACCATTTTGTATATACCAACTTAAGACAAATATGACATCTTACAACTTAACCATATACAAAACCATTTTGTATATACCAACTTAAGACAAATATGACATCTTACAACTTAACCATATACAAAACCATTTTGTATATACCAACTTAAGACAAATATGACATCTTACAACTTAACCATATACAAAACCATTTTGTATATACCAACTTAAGACAAATATGACATCTTACAACTTAACCATATACAAAACCATTTTGTATATACCAACTTAAGACAAATATGACATCTTACGACAAAACAATTTTCGTTATCTTAACTTAACATTGCTTATGAAATGTTCAGCAATAGAAAAAAGATACTAAACATTTTGTTTCTTGATTTTGAATTGTCTGTTGTAGTGTACAATGAAACAGAATAGGTAGTGGTATGCAATCTGTTTTCCTGAAAATTCTAAGTCACTGGTCATAATGAAATGACAATCCAGTGATTGACATCGTGAGCATCGATTTACGCAATTGGGATGGTGAGTGAGTGAGTTTAACGCCGCTTTTAACAGTATTCCAGTTATATCACGGCGTGTCAGCTTAATGTGGGAGGAAAGCCCGAAGTGATGCGGGTCTCAGACGTTAACAACATCGGTGAAACCCACGAGCACGGGTATGGTGCTGACATACCTAGAAACATAATCGAGGCGAACCGGGATTCGAACCCACAATCATAGGTTCCTGGCGTGCCCAAGGGACGCAACTCTGCATAGCGAATCGCGGCGCCTTATAATTAGACGTCTGCGCCACCCGTGCCCCCACGCAATTGGGATAGGAAGATATGTATCAACCAAGTCAGTGAGCCTGACCACCCGATCCCGTTAGTTGCCTCTTACGCCAAGCATGGGTCGCTGAAAACCAATTCCAACCCGGATCTCCACGGGCAGATTGCGTGTGTACAAAACTGTGTAGAGCAGCGTAAAAGTGAAAATGACTTTCGTGAGTTAAGGATGTACAGCGCCACTCCTTCCTTACCCTACCCCTCTTGTTTTTTGCTTCCACATTTCGCTAACACCCTTGTCATCACTTATTTCAGTGATCTATTCGTATAAACTTCCGAGGTATTTTTGCCTTTTGCGCCTAATAGTTCGGCTGATAATCTGGACGTGTTACATTAACATGAATTCAACAATATTATCGTCTAAATCGTTAATCCCATGTCGTGATTAAGCAATTTAGAGGTATATAGATCGGGTGGTCATGCTCGGTGACTTGGGTGGTTGGATGCCATGCTGCTGATGATGTCAATCACTTGTTTGCCTGGTCCAGATCCGATTTTCTACATAACGCAGTTACATTGCTGGAGTAGTGCTGAGTAGTGGTGCGTGACAACAAGCAAAACACTTTTTCACAATCACTGTGTGGCAACCGCAAATTATGATCGCAATGTGAAAACGTTAAATGCCCGGAACGTTCAAGCAGTGTTAACTTTTGCAGTTACATGTTGTCAACTTAACAGGCAGGATAAAATGATAACTTGATAATGAATAGGCATAAACGTTGATATGTACTTACCAACATCATTTGTCAGATTCAGTCCGGCTGGATGGGTATATACACTTTTACTGTCAATAAACGGAAACACGTACATCATAGCTCCAAATGGAACATCATCTACGTGGGTCAAGTGGTAGAATCCTGGTGATGTCAGCTCCACTGATGCCTCAGAGAAACAGCTGCCTTTAATTACTTTGAATTGGGGAAATATCTGTGGTCGTATTCCGAGAACCTTGTCAGTGGGAACAATGACTGTTATATACATTTTCTTCAGGTCAAATGTAGCATGAAGAACGGGTTTTCCAATGTCATAAGAGCTGGAGTATAAACTAGTCGGTGGAACTACTGCCAGTGACGGTGTGGTTATAGTCATCTGCACAACGAGAACTGGTTTGTCTGCTTCAATGTACACTGGACCTGTGGTAGAATCAACAGTTATGTCATGAGACTCCCGCGCACCAAGGGAGAAAGATATACCACTGACGGACGGGGAGCGTACGGAGGTCGACGCTGTTGATCCAACAACTCTGTATATAGCACCACCAGTACTAGGTGGCGGTACTGGCAAGTAAAAGCTTCTCCCAAATGACTTCACAGGCAGCAACATTTCTTGCATGCCATCTTTAATGCTAGGAGTAAACTTCATGTTATGCCCACTAATCACAGCCACGGGTTTGTCACTGGTGACCAGTGTTCCAGTAATGTCCTCTGCACAGTAGGCACCAACTGTCTGATACTTGTTGAGTGTAAATGTTCTGCTCTCCCCATTGAAGAATGCCCCATTGCCACACCCACCTGCCATGAGGGGTCCTTGTATCTTAAGACTGATGACCACCTGGGTATTGTCCTTCGTAGCGATGATGAGGAAAGCAGTCTGTGTGCTCTTTGTGTAGGGAAGTGAAGTCTCATCAGTTGCAACCGAGTGATTATCAATGTGTGTCACTACAAGGTATTCCGTGGATAAAGTCTCAATCGGCAAGGCAAGGTATCCTTCTCCTTGATTAGCAAGTACGTAATAACAGAACAAGGTTATTTCCTCAGTGGATGTAAAGTAGAATGACATGTCAGTCACCTGTAGGTTGGCTTTGTAATAAAAACTTTCATCAACTTTGTACTTGTAGTCCACCATAGCTTGGATGTGTAAATCTTCTGAAATACCGAATCCACTCTCAACGTGAACGGTGGTATTGAACTCAGATAGAATCACAAAGAACATGTTTGGAAAGCTTGAACTTTGGAATGGTTGTTCAAAGAACGCTGCAACGAATTGTCGTCCCTTGGGCATCGCTGAAGCACCTGAAGACAAACGAGCAAAATGAGTTGAATATGGGGCTATCGTCTTAAATACAACTGGATTAACTAAAACAAAACATTAACATTTAATACGAGAACAGCACATACAGTTGTGTATCCATATGTGTTAGTGTTATGGTTGAAATATATAAAATGTACAATCCAGAATTGTACGGTTGTTCAAATAACGAGGCAACAAATTGTCGTCCCTTTGTCATGGCTGAAGCACCTGAAGACAAATGTGCTACACCTTGGCAATAAGGGGATTAACATATATCTTCAAGATTGTGTTATTTCTAGCAACAAACGCCATAAAATTACCCCCATTTTATTTGTTTGTTTGTTGTTTAACGCCGCACTCGGCAATATTCGAGCTATATGACGGTGCTCTTTATCTTTAAATAATCGAGTCAGGACCAGCCGATCCAGTGATTGAAATCATGCGCATCGATTCACGCAATTGGGATACGATGACATGTATCAACCTAGTCAGGGAGCCTGACCACCCGATCCCGTTAGTTGCCTCTTACGACAAGCATGGTCGCCTTTTCCGGCAAGCATGCATATGGGTTTCTTAACACCTATTCTACCCCAGATTTTCAATGGTGCATTATATTTGTCATGAGACAGATCGTCTGCCCGGAGAACGGATGGTTCGATCCTCGACCGCCTCATACCAAAAGTCGTTAAAAGATGGCACTTGTTGTTACCCTGCCTAGCACTCGGCAATATGTGGCTAAAACAAGAACTGGTCGGCTAGGAGTCAGTAAATTGTGTCTGAGAGGGGTATTCATGTTAACGGCGTTAAAAAGCTTTTTATGAAGATGGTTGTTTTTGACAGCGCTGTCACACCACCACATTAAACATTTACCCTTCCATCCCCTTCCTCACTCTGTTCTCTCCCCTGCCCTTCCCAATCAGAAACGACATTTTAAGAATGAATTGCTAATAATTTCACAAGGATGTAACATAATCCTGTATTGTGCGTTATCTTTCTTTGGTACAAGATGGTAAAGTGGTCAGTAGTTTAAATAGGAAATACCGCCCATCTGTAACAAACAAATGTTTCAGGAGGTCATTGCAGTGAAAACATATTACTAGTTTTGTTTACATAATATGTTTTATTTTCAACTTTTATATCATACTCCATATACAGTAAACTACGGTTATAACGAACTCAAAGGGACCATTCATTTTAGTTCGTTATAACCGTTGTTCGTTATAAGCATATATACAGCATATATAAACAAATGTCCGGGACTAAAAAGTAAGTTCGTTATATCAGTCAGTTCGTTATAAGCGTGTTCGTTATAACCGTGGTTTACTGTACTCTTGTTCCTGATTCTGAAGGACCGCTTGCAAATTACAATTTGTTTTACCTTCTGAGTTACACGTGCGCTTAATGACAGTACAGGTACTTGCATCACTGTCACGCATGCTACAAAATGTCTTTGCGCCGTGTTGATCCGCTGGATCATAGTTATATTGTAAGAAAATAGTTCCATCAAAGTCGGGGCACGGGTGGCACAGTCGTCTGAGGCGCCGCGATTCGTTGTGCAGAGTTGCGTCCCTTCCCTTTGTGGGTTCGAATCCCGGTTCGCTCCGATTATGTTTCTAGGTTTGTCAGCACCATACCCGTGCTCGTGGATTTCACTGAAGTGGTAAACATCTGAGATCTGCATCACTTTGGGCTTTCCTCCCACATTAAGCTGACACGCCGTGATATAACTGGAATACTGTTAAAAGCGGCGTTAAACCCAACTCACTCACTCTCACACTGTCTTACACCAAGTCATTCGTGTTTTATATTTTGTATATCATTCCAGGTAAACAATTTAACATATTTATAGATTTATTGACGCCGACTAATGATGTATGTCTACATGTGAAATTATCAATAAACAACATCATCCATTTTATTTATGAATGCAAATCATATTAATCGATCTTTGTCGTTTATGTTTTGTACGTATATTTACCTACATTCATATTTAATATAGCAATTTTAGCGGATGCATGTGGTGTGTACTGTGAAAGAATGTTGACAATACTTGTCATTTTTCCTTTACTAAAACCCTTTATTCGTTATTATAAGCTATTGTATAATATTTTTGTGGCTGTTGTACAATGCTGCAGTCAGGAGCATTCCATCTATATCTTCATTTTCCCGAGGCAAGGGAGTTAACTGACTATAAAAGTCCAGTTTCCACCCTTGCCGAACTAGGCTGGTATTTATGGAGTTACAGTTTGGCTGGGCGAACGAATCTGTGCATTGTCCACGAACTAGACATCCGGTTCGTTAACAACAGGAATTTCAACGTGCATATTTCGGTCGACTGCAGGATTTGCGAAGCATGTGTACCGCAAAATCGGCGTCGACAGATATTTTGTTAATTCTTTATGCATTTAATCAAGGTGCTAACTCGATTTGATGCACTTCGCGGGGTAAGACCCGTTGTATTACAATATAGATCTAGATTATCGAGCAGATCGTCTTGACTGGGCGTCGCCCGATTGTGATATGAGAGGTGGAATCTGATTGGTTAATAGAAGGAACATAGAAGGGACATAACTGGTAATAGCCACTGGTGGCGCTACGATCGAGCCTGGAAATTCCAGCCTTGTTCGACAAGGGTGGAAACTGGACTTTTATAGTCAGTTAACTCCCTTGCCTCGGGAAGATGCTACATGTTACGTCGTCTTATGTTATGTGTTAACACCCCATGGAACTATAACTCAGTTATGCTTGTGTAGTGTACGACCACAGCCTTCACAGGACGCTGAATTAGTGATACTTAATTGAAGCAGGCTACTGATGTTACAATGTATACCCTAGAGAACAGGTATGATGTTGACATACCAAGAATCACAATCATGGCAAATCGGGGATTCGAAACAACGATCATCGGATTCTAGCACGACTAAGGGACGCAACTCTAAAAAGTGAACTTTGGCTCCTTGGACGATGGGTCCATCTCTGCCAGACTTATTAGCTGGGTATATAATTATATAATTGTAATTTGTGCTTGATCATGACCAGTGTATGAAACTTAAGGAAATCGTACACATGTGACAAAAAGAATATCGAACACATAATTAATTACTTAGTTATTGAGAATAGAAAATACTGCTGTGATGAAATATGGATCCCTTTCATCGAGTTAGGTGTCGAAAAGATGGCTAAAAGAACATCCCATATCGAGAGTGACCTGGCTGACACTCATGCGTTATGAAAATATTGAATTATGATAATTTATTATGCTTTCACTATCCCTGGAGCACAGTAATTTATTTCATGACAACACTAAAACACTAATCAATACCAACCGTTCAGAAACAGATTCTTTGAAGCTTCAAATTTCATGTACAACCTTGTTCGTTTTACGCTCATGATTTTGTTATTAAGACTATTTTTACATATATTGTATCTTACATATTTTAATAGGTAAGACAATACAACTGTCATTGAGTGTTTATTTACATCTGAATATGGCTATCAATGGCATCGATCACTTATGTCCAATGATAATCACAATCGTTATCAGGCAGCCCGTCATAATCGATCTGTGAAGCACATGTAATATTTAAGCCACGTCCTGCTGTCTGAACCTTTCAGCCAATACATGAGCGTGATGCCACTGTTAGGTATGATGAACAGTAGCTTTCTCCCAACATTGAGGGGATCGATGGAATAATCACGCTATGGTTGCTAGGTGTATCAACAAGACATACTTATTTACAATGACGGAAATGTGTTGTGGGTCGGGTCACAACAATAGTATGGGACAATCGCAATTAGAATTGGCAATAACAATGTCGACTGGCTTTCTGAATACATGCAGTGAAGTTGACACAAATGTATGTTGCTCTTTCATACTGCTTCCAAATATATATAACCTTACAAAGAGATGTATTGCTGGGTCAGCAAATGCACCACCAAATTCGTGTCTCAAAATTTGCCCGTGATCGCTATTACGTAATGAAGAAGGGATAGGTTAATTCTACAAATGATCGATCTTGCTCTTTCTACGAAGATTTCAACACGATGTATGGTAGACATATGGATGACGTTTCCAAATTTGGACCACAAGTGACTTAGCTTATGGCCAGTGCAATCCCCAATTTTGATTTGTACCATATGTTTCAGTGTGTTGTTTCAGATGAACCATTAACTTGTCTTTGCATGTGTTTGTCAAAGGGCAACATACGCAGAAATGGGGCAGGATACGCTGACTTTTTCACGAACACATGGTGTTATCACTATTTGATAGTGATAACTAAACACATGCTCTCATCATAAAATGGACTCTGCTATTAGCAGAGATGACTTATGAATAGGGAAAGGGTTTCGTTGCTTTTATTTTCACCAATGTGGAATAGGGTCACTCTTCTATTCGTACGGCTGTATGTTGAGGAACTCCTGGTTCGATGCATTAACATACAGTAATGCATCCTTCAAGTGTCAGTGGGGCGGTCGGGTAGCCTAGTGGTTAAAGCGTTCGTTCGTCACGCCGAAGACCCGGGTTCGATTCCCGACATGGGTACAATGTGTGAAGCCCATTTCTGGTGTCCCCCGCCGTGATATTGCTGGAATATTGCTAAAAGCGGCGTAAAACCATACTCACTCACGCACTCACTCACTCAAGTGTCAGTTGAACACAACAGATGTTAAAAATGCAAAACACATATGATCGATTCAAGCCCCCTGTTGGGAATCCGCGATAAAAAGCGTATGTAAAAGCCGACTAAAATCAGCATCGGATGCATGGCTCAGATCGATATGTGAGCTTGATCAGCGGCTGTCATCAATGCCAACTGTCCCGCGGGGATTCGGGTTGGAATTGGTCTTCAGGAACAAAAGCTTGTCGTGAGAGGCAACTTACGGGAAAGGGTGGACACACTCGCTGACTTGGTTGATGCATGTTTGTGTGTACAAATTGAGTTGTTCGATGCTCATAATATCAATCACTGAATTATCCGGTTAATATTTGATTATTTAAGGA